GGCTTGTGTGAATGTGATGGAAATGACACTTGTATGGCTTCTTAGACAGGGTCATAAAAGGTGGTAGAGCTTCACCTTCCTTTTCTGCTCTCACTTGTGACACATCCTTGGGGAGTTCTAATCTGCCATGTAATAGCAGATACCCGGAATCTTCCATGCTGGAGAGACATGCTGGGAGATCACATGGACATACGGAGAGATGTCTGAGGAACCCCAGCTGTTCCTGCCCCTAGCCATTTCAGTCTTCCCAGACTAGGCGTATCAATGAGCAAGCCTTCAGATGATTCTAGCACCAGCTACCATCTGGCTGCAAACTCACGAGACACTGCAGCAAGAACCATCTAGTCAAGCCTCAGAACTGTGAGAGATCATAATATGGTGGTAGTGGTTTTAAGCCAAAGTTTTTTGGTGATTTGTTACATAGCAATAGGTAACCAGAACTGATTTGGGGACCTGGAAACGGAATATTAACATAACAAAACTTAAAACATAGGGCAGTGGCTTTGGAATTGAGCTATAGGCATAAGTTGGAAGGGCCTTGAAGAGTTTAGTAGCTGAAGTCTGATGGCTCTTGAGGTTCTCTCTCAGTAGGGCTTAAGGAAAGTGAAGGAGAAATTAAAGCTGGAGGAAAAGTCCTTGTTAATAAAACTATTGCCTGTGATAATGTGGAAATGGAGAATATACCTAATGGATCAGCCTGACAATTTTTCAGGCTAAAGGGTAAAAGTCGCATCTGGTTTCTCATAGCTGTGTATCATAACATACAGATAATGATGAGCTTTAGAAGAAATGACTCAGTTTTCAAGCAAAATTTAGAGACAATATAAAGGAGTCAGGACTTGCTGGGTTAGAAAATAAAAATCTTTTTTTCTGATGATCAGTCTCCTTCAGCAAAATATTCCCAAAGTAAAAAAAGATCTCAGGACAAAAGTCAAATTCATGACCCTGTCACAAAAGCCTCTCAGGGTAAAGAGAGAGCTAAGCATATAATTTTAAAAGCACTAAGGCCCCAGAAAGATTTAGGGTGATGCCTCCTGAATCCTTGCAAACAGACAGAAGCTTGATGATCCAGTTCCATCCAACAAAGGAATTCTCAGGCTGATGAAGGTATTGATCCACTGCAGCTCTACAGGGAGCCTAAGGTGGAAAAGATTGTTGACGTGACTGTGTTATCTAATGAAGTGCAGTCTAATAAGATCAATAAGGTAGGAAGCTTAAAAGCTTTTAAGAAAATTATACTTGTAAAAATACTACTAGCTTGGACCATAAGGCCAAGATGGCTTCAACATGAAAAGCTTTTAGACCATGAAACCTGTGTAGGCAGGAAGCAGGCTTATCAACTATTGACCTTAAATTGTAGAGTATATTTTATGGAGTAGGAAGGATAACTCCAAGGATGGAGCCAAGAGCCGATGAGAATCACTGCAGGCTGTAGAGTCTTAATCGAGGAATTGGTCACCTGTGCCTGTCGAATTTGCTGTGGACCAGAGACCGCTGCACACCTTGTTTTTTCCGATTCTGAGTGAGAGAGTCCACAGTGGTTGTCCCGTTCTGCCCCACCATGGGTACTGGATATGCAGAGCACAGATAAGTTGTTTCTAGCCCACAGGCTTTTCAACCAAGAGGAATAGTATTTTTTCCTAGAGAAAGGGAAACATTGCTTTTCTTTCTTCCTTTTTAAAAAACATTTTAAATCACATAATAAAATGACAAAATATGTTTGAATATAGCTTGAATGACTGTAAATAAGCACAAAAATTCTCCTTCCTCCTCAATCTCATATGTCAATATATGCTCACTGCCTGGTGTGTAGTTAGTTTTATAAATGTTAGTTTCCTTTATCATTATCTTTGCCCACAGTATCCAGTGCCCCAATGCCAACTTCTACTTCATTGTGGCTCTTTCCCGCTACAGCACCTCCCCCCACCTCCCCCAGGCCTCTCTATGTGCTCCAGACATTTTCTGGAATTCTGTTATCATCTAAACTCTGAACTTGCGTACCTAACTTTAAAACAATTTAGAGTGCTTAGACAGTCAGTATGAATAATGCATGTGTTAGCATAAAAATCGCACTTGAGTGATGGCAGTAGCCACCTTCAGTGTTGACCCCGTGGAGTAAGCAGAAATTTCAAGCACTTTTATAGGCTGCTTGAGTTTATTTTGAGTAAGGACCCATAAGTTGCTACTCAGGTCATGACAGTCTCGTTCCTTTCTGATGCAGAGTTCCATTTTAAGGGATACGATATAGTGTAGAAAACTGTGCTAAAGTCTGTCCTGGGTCCACACCATGTTATGGGCTATCTGTCCAGGATTCTAATCTAATGAAAATTAACTAATAACAATGTTCAAGATGAAAACCTAAAAGGAGGATTTATAAAGGAAAGGGGACTAGAGAAGGAGGGTAGTTTTGCCTTGGAAAATAAATGTGCTTGTGGAGTTCTCTGAGTCAATGTGTACAACAAGTACAGTGACCCTTAAACCACATGGGTTTGAACTGTGTCTGTCCACACATTCATGGATTTTTCCCCCAAAATACTGTAATCGTGTTTTCTCTTATAATTTTAACATTTTTTTCTAGCTTGCTTTATTTAAGAATACAGTATATAATAAATATAACATACAAAATAAGTTAATCATTATATTATTTGTAAGGCTCCTGGTCAGTAGTAGCTATTAATATTTAAGTTTTGGGGGAGTCAAAGTGATTTCTGACTGCATGGGACATGAGTGTCCCTAGCTTCCACATTGTTCAAGGGTCACATGTGCACATGACTGCACACGTGTTTATTTAACCAGCATCACTATCACTGCGTGACTCAGCGTACTTGTGGCAGTGCGGACGAGCTAGGTGGGGGTGGAGAACACTTCCTCAGAAGGACAACAGTTGGCAATGTATTGTGTGAGACCTGGGAAACACTCTGATTTGCCATACCTTAGGGAAGGTTTTTGCATAATATTAGAGCATGTCTCTTACTGCAATGCATATGCATTCTTAGATTAAAAAATAATACTGAGTTCTCAGGAAAACTCAATTGCATCAACAATAGCATCTTTCCATAAACTATTGGGTTGGCCAAAAAGTCCATTTAGTTTTTTCCAGAAAATAAATGACACATTTTTTATTTTTACCAATAACTTTATTGATTTGGATATTTTGAGTTATGTCGGCTATCTCCTGCTATTTATTGGCTTCTAGTGAGTAGAAGTCAGGGGTGCTGCTAAACATCTTCCAATGCATAAGACAGCCCAACAGCTAAGGATTATTTGGCCACAATGTCAATAGTACCGAGAAACTTCACAAGCCACTTTGACATGTTCAATGAGCCACAGCACCTTCCCCATAGATCTTTTCTTTTTGCATTTGAATTGCAATACCTTTCTTAATAAAGCACAATATGCCAAAAATGTTGCATATTTTCTTCTATCTTCAATCTTAAAATGGCTGCACAAAAATTTACCAATTTTGAGAAGTTTTCTTTTAAATGCATGCTGATATGACAGTTGTCACAATACATCTAACAAAATTGTTTTGAATGAACTTAAAGACAACTAAGCAGTAGTAATGCCAGTATATGGAAAAAAACTAAACAACTTTTTTTCACCAACCCAATAAAAGCTTGTAGAGCCTTAATAAAAAAAAAAGAAACCATCTAACTTTAAGAATGAACTTACTACCAAGTGAATTTAATTCACAAAATTAAATTTCCATAAAATTTAGGTTTTGGTGTGTTTGTTTTTAATTAAAATTCTTAACTGGTCAAATATTGAATTTGAGTTCAAAGATGTATCTCCCCTGAGGATGAAATCTAAAGAGGCCAAGAAAATAACAAAGTCGGAATTGCCAAAGTTCGCAGCACAGCGAGCCCTCTAGTCCTTCCATGGAAAACAGTATGTGGCACTTTGTCTTCTACAAAATTAAGCTCCTTCCTATACAAATTCCTCTCGTTTTTATCTTTTTTTCACCTTTGCTCAGTTTCTTCTTGTTTGCCTAGTTTCTTCATTTCTTCCTGTGTAACGTATCACTATCGTTTGTAAAGAACGGATGAGGCACCAGAAGCAAGGGTAGACTCAGCTCTACCCTGACTCACCATGGAACTGTAGGCCAGCCACTAATCAGGAAACTGGGGGAGTCAGTATGGTTAGGGAGTTAGTTGCTGGAGTTGACTTTGGGTCCTCAGGCTGTGGAACTCCTATCTTTCCATTGCTACCACTTACCTCACAGGCAGGTGATTCAGTAGTGAGTTATTCTGTGTAAGAGGAAGTAAGAGGTTTGGAGTCAGGTAGCCAGAGGGTTATTTCTTTTTTCTGCTATTTAATAGCTGTGTGACCTCAGGTAAATTTCTTAATCTCACTTATCCTCAATTTCTTTGTTTTAATTTTTAAAGATTTTATTTATTTATCTTTAGAGGGGAAGGGAAGGAGAGAGGGAGAGAAACATCAATGTATGGTTGCCTTTCATGCGTCCCCTGCTGGGAACTGGCCTGCAGGGAACCTGCCTGCAACCCCAGTGTGTGCCCTGACTGGGATCGAACCGCGATTGCCTGGTTCGCAGGCCCGCGCTCAATCCACTGAGCTACACCAGCCAGGGCTCAGGTAAATTTCTTAATCTCACTTATCCTCAATTTCTTTGGTTGTAATACCTACTGTGGGGGTTTGTTATGAACACCACAGACACTATAACCAAAGTACTCAGCAAAGTCGTCAGAGAAATGGCCCTGTTGGTACTTCAAAGGAATGTTCAGGAAGTGTCTCAGAAAAAGATAAAAACCATAAATGTATTATTTTTCTTATGTATGTATTTTATTGATTACGCTATTACAGTTGTTCCAATATTTCTTCCTTTGCCTCCTGCCAGCTGGTACCTGCCCATCTGCTCCAGCAAACCTCCCATCTCTTAGTTTGTGTCCATGGGTCATGCATACAAGTTCTTTGGCTTCTCCATTTCCTATACTGTTCTTGACAGTCTCCAGTCTATTCTGTACCTACCAACTTGTTCTGGAAAAAATATGGACCGCTTCACAAATCTGCATGTCATCCTTGTGCAGGGGCCACGCAAATCTTCTCTGGATTGTTCCAATTTTAGTGTATGTGCTGCCAAAGCAAGCACTAAATGTATTATTTTCTTTAAGAAATTCTTTGGTAATTTTTAACTCTTTACCTTCCATGGCTACTTGTGATATCTACTAACGTTGTGAAAAACAATAGTTAATCTGAGTCTTTTCTTGTTGATTGAAGTATAGCCTGTGTGAGGCTAAGAAACTCTTCCTTGCTTATTTGCAATTGCAGCAGCAATTGTATTACATTACCTGGATTGACAAATAAATAGCCAGGAGTCATTTTGCATGACAGCTATTAGTTCTACGGAAACTATAAAATGGACCGAAACAAATAGTTGGGTTCCCTGGGACTGTGGATCTGTGTATTTCCCCCTTCATTATAGTGTCAGATGCTCTTGACTGTCTTTCAGGGCAAAGATGCATGACCACCAAGAGTATCTGCAGCATTGGTGAGAAGAGGGCGGGGCCAGGTGGCATGCTGATAGTACACTGTAGTCCCTGCAAGAGAGGCTGTCTTTGCTGAAGGGTGTAGTATTGCTATTGTTACAAGTACCTTTTTAGTCAAAGCATATCTTTCATTCTTTAAATGACAGATGGTTAGGATTGTTACTTCTGTTTCCGACAAACTCAGAAGAGGAAAAACAAACAAGTTAACTGACACTGAATACTTGGTTTTCAAGAATGCTAGGTAAAATAGTTTCAGCAAGGTTATGCGGTGTTTGTGGTGAAAGTCCCTCACCCCCATGATGTCCACACCCCAATCCCCAGAACCTGTGCTTATATTAGGTTATGTAGCAAAGGGGAATTAAGATTGCAGATGGAATAAGATTGCCAGTCAACTGGCCTTAGGATAGGAGATTATCCTGGATTATCCAGTGGGCCCAATATAATCACAGTGCAATAGGGAGGCAGAGAGCCAGCCAGAGTCAGAGAAGGAGATGAATTTCAGAATCGAAGTTAGAGTGATGCCAAGTGAGGGCTCGTCCTGCCATTACTGACTTTGAATAGGAATGAAAAGGGCTCTGAGACAGAGGATACAGGTGGTCTCTGGAAGCTGAAACAGTCAAAGAAACACATTCTCACCTAGAACTTTCAGGAACCCCTTCCAATACTTTGATTTTAACCCAGTGAGACCTACTTTGGGCTTTCGACCTCCAGAACTATAATTAGCTTGTGATATTTTAAGCACTGAAGTTTGTGATGATTTGTTACAGCAGCAGTAGAAAACTGATATAACCATAAACTAAATATCTAAAAATGATGAAGCCAAATTACATTCTCTTTCCCAGAGAGGTGCTATTACCAGTAAAATGACAAAGCAAGGGAAAGCAGAGGAAAGCCACGAGGCTGGGCCTGGCTGGCTGCTATTAGAGCAGTTTCCATTCACTTCCTTCTTTATAGTTCTGCTCCCAGCCGTAGATCGTCAGGGCTCTTCCCTCAGTGCCCGGGTCCTCGTGTTGCCTCCTCTCTCCTTCTTCTTCTTTTGCTTGCTCTCATCCCCTCCTTCCTCACTTTTCTCTTTTACCATTTTCCCCAATTGTCTTCTCTCCACTTCTCTTCTACTCTGACAGGAGTTAGCAATGGCCCAGCTAGTAAGAAGAAGATGAACATTCCTACTAATTCCCTCCTTCTCTGTACCTATGTCGTTCATGGGGAAGGATCTTTCATGAACACTAGCAAAGAACAGAATAGATAGGAAAAGAGGCACCTGAAGACAGTAAGAATTGAAAACAGGACATTGCCACCTCATCTCCTTGACTTAACAGTCACTGTTTTCCTTTGAAAAATAATTGTAATGTACTGTACACCAGGGCTGAGTGTACTCTTGATAGTAGGGTGGAAGTGCCCCCATTTCTCTAAATGGTTAACTAACCGCACACTTAGAGCCCTTGGCAGAGGTTTGGAGGCAGAGTTAAGTACTCGGAGTATACCGAGCCCCATCATCATCTGTGATCTGTACGAAATTTCATGTACACTTGAAGCTAGTCATATATTCTGTGAGTCTTCACATGTACTTAGCAGTGTACCAGATACAGTTAGAGGTGGCAGCAGCAAGCCAGCAGCAGGACCAGTGCGGCCTGCTTTCTGGTGGAGAGGGATCTCTGGGATGTGATATACGGCTGCCGTTCCCTTGGTATACAGCATATAAGCACCTTACTGCAGGTGTTGTCTTAAAGACACGAGCTTATATGATCTGGACAAGAACAAAATCAAAGTTTCTCGCTAATGGGTAGTCAGTGCCTCTGTGCTCTGAAGAGTACAGCAAGTTCTTCCTTTAGTGTCAAGGAGGTGCTTCTGGAACGATCCACTCCACGAGGAAGGAACGCTCCACTCTGCTGCCTTCGATGTGATCTCCTGAGTGTGCCCAATAATGTCTCGGCATCATTTCAACAACCTCTTGTTATTTTATAGGTTTTATCAGATGGCTTTATCAATTGGGCAGAACCAAATCTTTAAAGGGGCATGACAACTTTCACATCTGTCGTGATCTGGGCATATTCCCTGGCGGGACTACATTTTCATTCATTAGAGATGGAGGAGATATAAAATGTCTAACTCTAATCACCTCTACTGCTACAGCCCTCTAACTGGTGTCTTTGGCTTTCTTTTCCTCCTCTAATCTTGCCCATGGACTTTCGTCACAGGGATCTTTTTAAAACAACACTGGCAACCACCCCCTCTCTCCTGCCTCCTTATTTGAGTCAGATAGTCTTATAACACCCTCCGATTTACACCTGTTAGCGGTCATCACACCAAACTGTAATTGCCTGTTCACTTAACCTGCATCTCCCATTAAACTCTGGCCTGTGGTGGTTGGCCCTCCCTTAGCCCAGATGTCAGGAGGCAAACAATTCATGTGCCTGTGTTGAGTAAGCAAAATCCGCTTTGCCACCTAAGAACTTAAAGTGATTCCTTGTTATTCATCAGATCAGACTACAATTGACCTCTGAACTACCTGGGTTAGAACTGCGCAGACCAATTGAAAAATCCATGTATAAGTAGACCTGCGCACAGTTCAAAACCGCACAGTTCAAGGGTCAGCTGTACCCTGGTTTTTTTTGTATATACCTTTAGAGCTCTTCTTGGTTCTCTTCTGGTTCTCACATCGTCATTCTGTGGATTGTTTCCTCTGCTCATCTGTGGTAGCTTGTCTTCAAAGATAGCTGCCATCAGGTTTCACCTCCTCTGTATACACATGAGTGCCTGCCACCCCCCCCCCCGCCGAGAGATGGAGTCTGTCCCTCTGTATCCTTGAACCTCAGCTGGCCTGTCACTAATTTTACCCACAGAATAGGATGGCAGTGACGCTGTGCCAATTTTGGGCCTTTAAGAGGAATGGCATTTTCCACTTCTGTCTCTTGAGGCCCTGAACTTCCAATAATGCGTGCAGGCAACTCGTTTTTGGAGAGAGAGACCACATAGAGGAGGTGAGTAAGGAAGCCATCCTACACAGCCAGCCCCATCGTGAGGCCCCAAGAGGACCACCCAGTTGAGTCAGCCTGTAGAACCATGAGAGAGCAATAGTACTTTTAAGCCGCTAAGTTTGGGCTGGTCTGTTACACAGCAGTAATGATCCTAATGCCATCCTTTCAGGTTCCAAAGCTAGAGTTTCTATAAAGCTTTTCCTTGCTAGTCTAGTTGACATTGATCTATTGATCTCCCTCTGTCCCTTTCTGATTCCCACAGAACTTAGCACACTGTTATCCAACTATACGGCTAATGTATCCCTTAATGACAATGCTGCGTTCTGAGAAATGAGTCATTAGGCGATTTTGTCCCTGTGCGAACATCAACCCAGGTGGTACATGGGAGAGCCCATTGCTCCTCGGCTGTAAGCTTGTACAGCGTGTTACTGTGCTCGATACCACAGGCAGTTACAACACAGTGCGAAGTATTAGTGGGTCTAAGCATATTTGAACGTGGAAAAGGTACAGTAAAAATACAGTGAAAAGGTAAGAAATGGCCCTATGAATGGAGCTTGGAGGACTGGAAGTTGCTCTGGGTGAGTGAATGATGGTGCATGAGTGCGAAGGCCTCGGGCATTACTGTGCACCACTATAGACTATAAACATTGTACACTTAGGCTACACTAAATTTGTAAAGCAGCATGAGATTAAGTCAAGCACAAGAGAAAACGATGCAATTAAGAAGCACAGTAAACAGTAAACCCAAGGTGTATGAGGCTGCTGCCAGCATAACACAGCATACTGATTAAGTAGAAAGAATGTACACTGAAATAATGATAACATGTATAGTGTAGTAAATACATAAGCCAGTAACACAGTCACTTGTGATCAGGTATCATGGACTGTACTTGACTGTACGTGTTGTACATTTATATGACTGGCAGGGCAGTCGGTTTGTTCACACCAGCATCGCCACACACATGTGAGACATGAGTCAGTTGCACCATGACAGAACAATGTCACTGCAAAATAAGAATTTTTCTGCTCCACTGTAATCTTCTGAGACTACTGTCATATTTGTGTCCGTTGCTGACCCAAATGTTGTGATGCAGTACCTGCCTGTGTAGATTATTTTCCACTTCCTGTACGCTAACCTGCACTCTGTGACTCATCTGTGGTCTCTATCTAAAGATGCCAAACTGTAGCAGTATGTCTTGTAATCCTTTCAACAAGTCCTAGTACTGGACAGAAGTGTAACTAATAAGCTGTTGAACTGAATTAAAAGCATTCTTGGTTGTGTTAGCTCTGAAAACAGAATGTTATATAGTAAGGTGGTTCTGAGTGTGGTCCAGATCAGCAGCATCAGCACCACCTGGGAACCTGTTAGAAATGCAGGTTCTCGGGCCTGCCCCAGTCCGACTGAACTAGAAGTTCTAGGGAGGCTGGACTTGACCAACCTTCTATGTTTTTTAACAAGCCTTCCAGATACTTCTGATGCACACTCAAGTATGAGCGTCACTCTTACAGTAGAAGGAGTCCTGATTTTAAGGTGAGAAAGCCTAGGATTCTTTCATCAAATAAATAACATTTATTAAACATGCATCTACTTGTGTGCTTTGTGCTCAGGGCAGGAAATACTAAGA